AAGTGAATGAAGTAGAATATTTGACAGATACGAAATGAGAACAGATTCGATTTGCAAGTTGACAGCTTGATTCTCCTATTTCCATCCAGGTTAAGAGTTCAAGAACCTTTATAGAGTAAATCTAGCAAAATATTTATCAGTTTAGTACGATATTTTTAGTAGTAATCGTAATAGAAATGCAAACTTTGTAGTTAATGTAAAGTGAAATTGACGAATATTAAAATTAAAATATTTATGACATTTTATGTGTTATTTATGTAATAGAAATAAATAATAATTTACTCGTATTGTATCATATTTTTATCGTAAGTTAGATAAAATAATAATAATAATAATAATAATAATAATAATAAATGACAATATTTTAAATCTTGTATTTGAAATGAAAATCGGCTAATGTATGTCAATTATCACCGATGCTTTGAGTATAACTAAACACGTAATTCCTAGACAGAAGAGTGATTCGTATAGAATATGTTTGTATGTACGATTCAGTTCAAACAGTTAATACGCTTCAAGTAACCTACGCGTTGATTTACATAAAACAATCTACACATGTACAAGCTTCACTGGTAAACTGAATCGCTCGAATGTACATAGTGAATGATTGTTTAAGAAGTACTGTTCCTTTGGTTGATTTTTTGTATTAAGATTACAATTAATATCATTATGTAGAAAATCATATAATAGTTAAAATTATATATTATTATTATTATTATTATTTTATTATTATTTTTCGATAAAACATTTAATTAGATTTATACCTATATATATTTCTATTATAATATTATAACAATTTTAAATAATTAATGATAAAAAAAAAATAAATAATTATTATCACTTGAATATAAGTTTTAAGAAATTCAAATGAAATACCGGAGAAATATTTGAAAATATAGAGAATTTTCTTAACAAATATTTTGAAATTATTACTCATAACGAGAAATGACTAATGCATATGCAACTGCAATATACACAGCAATATTTTCATAGTAATACTGCACGTCTTCTCACGAAAATACTACAGTAACTAAGAAATATTTTGACGTTCAACAGTACGAACTAGCTTACAAATGGATTGCAATGCTGTAAATGTTTTGCAGTTTTGTTGAAAGTTTAAGTATCATTTGTTTTATTTTATCAATTACTAAAAATATATTTTTTGTAAATAACATTTAAGACATTGTATTTTATTTTTTTCAATTCTATCCCTCTCAATTGTTACTTTTCTTAATTCTTAGAAAGATATATATCTTGTTGAATTGTCTTAATAACATTAAAAAACATTGATATTTATCTTCGAACAAAACATCAGTTGTACGAATAAACATCTTTCATATTTAATAATTATAGATTATTATCGGAATCTATGAATCAGAAAAATCTCCTCAAATGGTAAGCAGGATATTTAATAATGATTTTAAAATACTAATTGCCGTCATCACTTCATTACGTATTTCTTTCATCAGAGACACATAATCATGTCAAAATAAAAATTTCGAGATAGTTGTGATTTTAAGAGAAATAGATATATTAGAAAGTTGCAAATTTTTATCGAATGTTTATTTAATTATAATTTAAACTTCGAAAACAATTTCGCTTGCGTAATAATATTCTCTACATACTTTATAGGATATAATCTATATTAATTAATTACAAATGATCAAATGAAAATCGCACAGTGTTCAACGATGCATGTAATTTTGCATTAAAATAAATTCATCGTAATTACGGAAAAGGGAGAATACATGGGAATTTATTGAATGATAACGAAGACAGTTACTTCTCAAGGTGAAGATTTCCTAATAGACAAGTAATTATTTAAAAGAAGACAAACAATCTAGATGAATATCTTGACAGAATTTTTGACCTTGCATATTTTTATGTCATTTATTATTATTACAATTCTTTGATAACATCAAATCATTATTTTTTAATAAAAAAAACTCTGTCATTTATATTTTCCAGAATTTTCTGATAAAATTCCTTCACATTTTAAATTGAATACAGAGAATTTTGTTAACAACAATATAGTAGATAGATATCGTGGATGTATAGATTTTATAAATTGTTCTTGCACAATGAAGAATAACAAAGAGATTTGAAGTCAATTTATATTCATCTTAAGTACAAAAAACTAATTAACTAATAAAGAAATAAGTAAAAGAAATTGATTAAGAAGATTTTAAACATTATTTATTTAAAAAAAAACAATCGCTATTTTCTTGGAAGAAATTCGCTGTAAAACGTGTTTGGATTAAGAAAAAACGAAATGAAATTAAGAGCATGGTGTAGGTATGAGAAAAGAACGAAGAAATATACAACCATTGAAAAGAATGATACAGGAAGAGCATTGTTCAGGCTTTATGATGTGTACACAATCGCACACAACATTTCTGCAACTTTTCTTAACGTTTACTTCAATTATACGTTGGAATGTGATTTTCCTACGCATAAGAACTACTTGTACGATTATTGCATCACACACAACCTTCAATTTTTTATAATTTATTTGCTAGTTTTTATTTTCAATGCGATAAAATTTTTTACAATTTTAAATAAATATTTTAAATAAATATTCATTTATATTGATATAAAAACAATTTCGTTTTATTTGAAAAGATTTTAAAGTAAAAAAATAGCAATTATATTTTTTCCAAATATAAATTCGTATATCCATAATCTAATCGAATAAATTGTTAATCAAACTTTTGATAAATGGTAAAATTGCATCTATGGAATGCATGCAAGTGCACTATCAACAATAACTTGTTGAACTACTAAATACATTTTGTATATTTTAGTGAAAGAATAAAATTTGTTAATTTTGTTAAATCGTTGAATTTGAGTCACGCCAAAAGAATTATCAGAAAAATCGATCTCTATCTGATCGCAACGACACATTTTCAAGAATTTTTTAAATAATTTCGAAATCCAAAAATCCATCTCAATTTCCTTTGAGATCTTATGAATCGACCTACCATTAAAATGTCAATCGATTACTCAACTGTCTGATAACAGCTGTCTCATTATTGTAATTAACTCCACGTTGCTTAAGATGTGCTTCAAGCGTACATCAACGCTACAGAAGCGTAGACAATTTACGAAGCGTAAATTGGAACGTGTGATGGCAATGTCAGCGATGCTTACTTCAGTTATAAATATTACAGAATGAATCTCGATACATTCCCGTCAAGTAATTAAGAATGAGCATGTGAAAAAAGCAATCAACAATAAGATGCTTCTAAGTATAAATTGAAATAAATATAATGATTTCGATTACGTTTTTAATTAAATTTTTAATTTTTAATTAAATTCGAAAAGAAATAAGATTTTCTTAAATTTCCTAATATTATGTATAATATATTGTATATTGTATTGCTCCTACTTTCGAATTTTCCATTCATTGAATATCCATGCGATGCTTTGTATCTATTCGAAATAATCTGACTTGAGCACCGCGTAAAGATTGCGTAAATGTGAGTCACACTCGGACGTTCAAAGTATTATGACACATTTTATATAACATGTTCACGTACAAACTGTATACAATAAATACAACTAACTGTATATAACAAATACAAATAAACACATCGTATACATATTATGTATATATGTATGTATATGTACACACATTCGAAATAAAATTGAAAATGACTATTGCGAATAAGATTCGAATAATGTAATATGACACATACACACGTGGATAAAATATACAAATAACATCCTTACCCATTTTTTTCACTGTATATATCAATACCGAATAATTATCTTTGCAACTTTTTTTATTGTATTTTTCGTAAAAAACTTTATATTAAAACCATATTAAATATTTATACCTTTAATTGAACTTATTCTCTTTTTCTTTTACTTTCAATGGAAATAATAATGTAACGACTTAAAATTTAACTATAAAAAGATAATTCAATGTCACATTGTCTTCTTGGATAACTGCTCAAAGTTTCATTTTCTTTTTTTAATAAATACAAATTAAAGTGTTTTTTTATGTTATTTTTTTTTTATGTTCTTATAATATTTATATGTGTCACTACACTTAACACTAGCTATAATAAAATATCAATTTTCCAATTTAATAACTTGCTTTTGTTTATCACGAAGATACATTCTCAGAAACAAAAAATAGAAAATGTAATTTCACTAGACACTTAGCACAAATTATACAACTCTTATATGATAAACTATGAGTATATAATGTCATCTGTCAGAAAAAATATAATCACTTGGCAATATACCGGACAGCTACAAGCATGCACATGTTGCCAGGTTGAATCTGCTGTCACGCCTTGGGCTTCTCGATGCATCGTGAGCAGGTGCCAGGTAAGGGGTTAGAAAAGTTGGTGCCCCCGGCATAATTTCTTTTTTTTTTCTTTTTCACAATTGTATTTATAGTTGTTAATAATATTATTGAAGAAATAATAAAAGTATTATTGAAAATTTTTCATTTTATTAAAAAAAATAATTCTTCAATTGTATTGCGTTCCTCATTATAAGGAATAAAACAAAATTTATATGTATTTGTGTGTATTACAAAAGAAAAGTTGATTAAAAAGTATATATTTATATTATATATGTATAAAGAATAAATATTTATGGATTAACAAAATCAAATTATGATTATGTACCAATTATTTTTGTATATAACGCTAAATAGAACATTAAATTTTATTGTAAGTGTATAATATGTATACGCAATAAAAGATTAAAATAAAATCTTTTAGACACTTACTTTTACAAATTATGTTGTATTTCCTTATTGTGATTGTTTATTCGATTTATTTCACTTCTAACTTGTTAATTTTCACAAATTTAACAAAAGAAAAAGAAAACGTGAATACTACCGCCATTTTTCAAGTTTGACTGTTCGTCACCGCGCTCTCAACAAATGGTAGATAATGAAACAGCTGTTTCCACGAGTATGAGGACATCTAACGGAACGCGCGCGCGATGGAGCCCGCGACAGCAGGAGAGAAGAATGGAAGTCGTGTGGGTCGAGGACCGATCGTATCTGCAGTAGTCGCAATCGTTCAAAGAATTGACTAAGGAAACATGGCTGCAGGTTGTTGTGGAACGAAAAAGCAAAAGCTGAACAATTCTTCAAGTGTTCCTTGTAATGGTTCAGTGTTACAAAATGGCACACAGTTAAGGAACAGTGTGATAGTAAAGCCTGAGATGGGCTTCTTTTGCTTCGATGTTCTTTATTGCCAATTACATCAACTCGACCCTCCAAAACCGCCCAATTTTAGCAACGAAGCATTGTAAGTAATATTATTAATTGACATTATTTTTAATTTTTTTCATTTTCTATTCTTTCTTTCATATTACTATCTCTTTCTATTCTACAGCTATCTTTATCACACATGCTTGTCATCAGCTGCTCTCTCTTTTCTGTTTAAATGTTATGTTCGTGTATGTACCTTCACATTCCTTTAGTTCCTTTGTTACAATGTGATACATCCAACAACGGGATATAATGTTAATTAAGATTTTGTTTGCATTGAAATCAATGGTACTTGAATGCATATATTGTAGTCGATATTTATTTGTTTATATTAATTGTATTTTTTCATAAAAAACAAAAATTATTTATTATAAATATATAGAATTTAAAAAAAATTTAAATTATTTGTTATATATATAGAAGATTCTTTACAAAAAATATTTATTATTGTATAAAGGTCAAAAGTTCAATTTGTAAATAAATGGTCATATTTTGTTAAATTATCACGTATTTTCATGTTATAATTGATATATTGTATCTAACATTATCTTTGTTTATAAATAATAAAAGAAATATGTAGTAAATTGTTTACTTGTACTTTATAGCCCATTATTTGTAACATGGACTATTGGAAAAGATATGAGGTTAAGAGGTTGTATTGGTACATTTAATGCGATGCAGTTACATGCTGGACTTAGAGAATATGCAACAACCAGGTAAATTTTTTTTATTTTTTTTATTTTAGATAATGGTATTGTTTTATTTTCTTAAACACATTAGAAAATTTTCAAAGTGCATTCAAAGATTCACGCTTTAATCCTATCACACGAGATGAACTACCACGTTTACATGTAAGTGTTTCAATTTTGAGACACTTTGAAGATGGTATTGATTATTTAGACTGGGAAGTAGGTGTTCATGGAATTCGTATAGAATTTCATAATGAGAAGGGCAATAAACGAACTGCAACCTATCTACCTGATGTTGCAACAGAGCAAGGTTTGTTTTTTTATTTCTGTTTTAATAATTTTAATAATTTTAATAGTCTACTATATATTAATCATCAATATTTTATATATAAAATTTCAAATTGTATGTATAAACATAAGTATTTTCAATAAATATATATATATATATATATATAAATTTTTGGAAAATCAGAATTTATTATGTTTAGGATGGGACCAGATACAAACAATAGATTCATTACTGCATAAAGGTGGTTACAAAGGATTAGTCACTCCAGATATTAGACGTAGTGTCAAGTTAACAAGATATCAAAGTGAGAAAGTTACTGTAAGCTATCAAGATTATATGACACATTGGCATAGCCGAAGATGCTAGCAGCTGGCTTGGGGTCCTAGTCAAGGACCCCAATTGCCACAAAATTCTGTTGCAGTTCATTATAATGCTAATACATCTCACACATCCCATCTACTATACAACAGTACTCAATATAATTCTTATATGGCCAGTCAGGAACATGGATTAGTAATGACACAACGTAATCATCCTGCATTTATACATCCTCTTCCAATACCTCCTATTTCTCCTGTCATGTTACCTATATGGGATTATTCATCATTTTGGTGGGATCAAACTAGTTCATCTTATCCTCCACCACATTCACATCTTCATCCTCCTCCTCGTGTTCACCGTTTTTCGTCACAAGAACCTGATCGTGGAATTCGTAAACGAAAATGACATTGGAGGCGACTATTGTTTACAATGTTTTATTGTTTAAAATGGTGCCTACTATACTTTGTATGTTTCTGCATACACGGTTTTCCTCTTATGATATCACATAGTCCTCCTTGAGGATAATAGCATTTTATGTATGATGGCACTGTCTTATTTCTTTATCTTTTATAATATAATAATATTATTTAATACTTAATAATTGGTATAATCATAAAATATATATGCATACAAAAAGTGCATTAACTTTTAACTTTAATATTTGTAATCATTGATAAAAATATATGTCAAATATTCGAATTTTAAAACTTGTACTATAATATAATTGCATATTCTCATGTGCTTTAATACGTTCATAAATTAAATAACATGATTGAGTCCACAAATAGAATATACATAGTATGCAATTAGCTCTGCCATCATACTTATTGAGTGTCCATTTATGTCTACAGTATACGAGTGACATGAATAATATTTTAGCACAGTGATGCTGCCTGCAATTCACTGCCTGCTTCACAAGGTTTAATGTACAAATTCACGCGAAAATGTTTCTATTATTCATATATTACAAAAATATAGAATATCATTTTTAGATAATAACATAAGTGAAGAATAAAAAATTAGATTTTCTATTAATTCATATAAGATATATAATTATTTTCTATATAACTTTCATGTAATTATCATTTATCAAAAGTTATAAGAAATTTGCATAAACAGTTAAATTAATATGAATCAAACAATTAATTTAAATAATATTATAATTAATACATAAATAATACATTTTCTAAATTAATTATGCAAAGAGAGTTATTTAGAAACTTTCTTATTATTGTGTTTTTGATTAACTCATAAGTAATACATAGATATATAAATACTAATTTTAAACTTACTAATTTAAATTTCTTTGTATTAATGGTATAGGTACATAATTTTTATTGTTATTACATATATTTAATTATTTATATTGATTGGCATTTTCAAAAATGTAAATCTTTAATTTAATAATGTTTAATTTTTTGTAAAAATATAATTAATTTTTAGATTTTCGTTTTTTTTTATACCATTATTACATTGAAATTTAATACTTGTAGTTATATTATAGTCCAGCGTTTTATTACAGAAAAGAATTATACCATTAAATACATAAATATGTAATTTCTTGTGAATAATTGTAATTAAAATTAGATATAATCAATTAAATTAACACTAAATATTTCGATACTTGTTTGGAAATTATTGCTGATTTTACAAAATTTAAATAATATTGTTAAAGGAAATAGCAGTGTGATAAAGATGATAGAATGGGACCTCTATTGTAAATAAGCAATGGACTGCATTATGACTATTAAAATGCGTTAATAATAGTTGTATTATAGTTGTAGATGAAAATGTGACGATCTCATTGTGATTTTAATATTCTGTGACTCATAAAACACAAATAGAGTTGCTATTGCTTTTTCTGTAATATATTTATCTTATTACTTTGTTTCTGTTAAAATAACATATAATTATAACGTTAAAATGAATTAATGAAACATACATATGGTGATTTTTAAAGTATAGTAAAATATGTTCTTCCATATCTGTTAATATTTTTACTTTCTTCATTCATTTAACCTTTACTTGATTTTTTTTTACACACTGCCAATTTATCAATTGCTATTTTTATTACGATAAGAATATTTTTGTTAATACACACAAATAATAAGAAACTATTTTTTTTTTAATCATAAGTTTGTAATTATTGTTAAAATATTTAGTTATTCAAGTTATCTTAAAAAATTTTTTGATATATTTTTATTAGTCTTATATTCAGCATTATGTGATGTCTAATTAACTGCCATTTATATAATGAAAACTAATTGCATGTGCTCGATTTGTGACAATAGAATATTTTAATTCCTTGATTAAAAATAAAGTGTGCATTTAGTGTGAAAATAAATTTAATATTACTGTTTATAAAAATATTTCATGGACAAAGTGAAAAAAAAATATATACAAATACAAAGATGTTATTATAAGACAAATTTTTTTATATTTAAATTAAATCAATGTTTATGCATTGATATAAATTAATATAAAACATACAATGTTATATAGGAAATATATTTCTTTTTTCCATATATATATATATATTATATATATATATATATATATATAATAAATTTTTCATGTGAAAATAATTAGGATTATTTTTCATTTGAAATTAATTTACAATAAAATAATCAATTGATTATTTTAAAGAATAATAATATCTGATTACATGTTTAATATCTGATTACAAATTTTAGTATTTTATTTTTTAATATATAAATATTAAAAAAACATTTTATCCTATAATAATTTTAAATATATTTTAATAAATAGAAAAAAGTATTGTGCCTAGTGAAAAATTTTTATTAAATAATTTATAAATAATAATAGGCAGATTCATAAAACATGAAAAACTACAATGAATATGAAAATCTATCTTAGTAATTTATTATAATTGTGTACGAATAAAAATTTTATATTATCAAGTTTGGTTATATTATTATTGTTGCTATTGTTGTTATTGTTAATAGCCCTATTCTATTAGATACATATATAGTTACCATTAAATTATATAATTTAAAATATTTAATATTTTCTAACTAGATAAGATTTAAAAAATTATTTTAAATTATGTATTATGCTTAAAGCTAACTGTAAATAATGATTAAATTAACATTTTTTCAAGAAGTAGAAATTGATAAAAAGAATGTCTTCTTTAATTAACAATAATAAAATATTTATAATGTATAAATCAATGAACATATTAAATAAAAGAGTAATATTCAATAGAAAAATATTCATTAGAAAAATAGCGGGCAGTGAAACAGCTGTTTTTTGAATGATGAGACATCTAGTGGAATGCGTATACATATGCAATAGCAACGAATGGACAAAATGCACGATACGGAACTGATCGCACTTGTACTTAGAAGAGCTGATTAAGAAACCATGGCAGCTGGTTGTTGTGGAACGAAAAAGCAAAAACTAAATGATTCCACTAGTGTTCCGCGTAACAATACTGTAAGTTTACAAAATAGTATTCATATGCGGAATTCTATAATAGTTCAACCTGAGATGGGCTTTTATTGTTTCGATGTCCTTTACTGCCAACTGCACCAACTTGATCCACCAAAACCACCCAACTTCAGTAATGAAGCTTTGTAAGTATTTGTTATTGACAACCTCTCTATTTTTTTTTAATTTAATATTTTTTTTCTTTACTTTAAATATTTGAATATATAATTTCTAATACAACAGAATTAATATTTTCTGTATTTTATTTTTTATTTTTTTCATTATAAATTTTTATATTTCTCTTTTATATTTATAACTGCATCTAAAGAACTTTAATTTATGAATAGAATATGATTCAAATATTCTTTATTTCTATACATAGAATAATTACATTTTATTAAGAATAGAAAAAATTATTAAATATTTTTTATTTTTATTATTTTTTAATGATATTTTATATAAGGCTTAAAAAGGCTAAATAAAAATATGTTATCTAAATATTTTCATAAATATTTTAATTAAAATTTTATCATTTTCACTGTTTTTTATATTGTATTAAAGTAAGAATTTTTTAAATTTCAATGTATATTATTAAAATATAATAATATGAATGTGATATCTTTATATATGTTAATATATTATTATTACATTTGATTTTGAAGCCCTTTATTTGTAACATGGACTATTGGTAAAGATATGAGATTAAGAGGTTGCATTGGTACATTTAATGCAATGCATTTACATGCTGGACTACGGGAATATGCTACTACTAGGTATTATTTTAGATTAAAATTAATAATAATATAAGAACCATTTTAAACATATTACTTTTTATAGTGCTTTCAAGGACTCAAGGTTTAATCCAATAACATTGGAAGAACTTCCACGTTTACATGTAAGTGTTTCTATACTTCGACATTTTGAAGATGGAGCAGATTATTTAGATTGGATAATAGGGGTTCATGGAATTCGTATAGAATTTCATAATGAAAAGGGCAATAAACGAACTGCTACATATTTGCCAGATGTAGCAATAGAACAAGGTTTGTATTATACTTCAGTTTAAGTAAATAGAATTTGCAGAATTAACAAGTTTTTCTATGTGATTATTTCATAATATAAAGTAATTTATAATAAAGAATTAATAAGTTACTTAACAATTAAATTATACTTAATGTGCGTGTAAAAATACTTGTAAGATAATTGCAAGTATTCTGCAAAGTTAGAATTTTACTTATTTAGGATGGAACCAAATCCAAACAATAGACTCTTTACTACATAAAGGAGGCTATAAGGGGTTAGTTACTCCTGATATTAGACGTAGTGTCAAGTTAACTCGATACCAGAGTGAAAAAGTGACTGTGAGTTATCAAGATTATATGACACGCTGGCATGGTCAAAGATGCTAGCAACTGCCCTGGGGTTCTATTAAAGGGCCCCTCATTTGTTATATTTCTAACAACATTGATAATTTGAGTACAGATACATTTAATTGTTGTTTGCAATATATTAATTATCAATGCAATAATATAATGGCCAGTCAATATGCATTCATTATAATAGAATCTAATTACTTTTTTATGACACAATCATGTTTATTCTATAATTCAATATGTTTTAATTTTATCATCTTATCTATACAAAGTTATCTTTTATTTTTATATACAAAATTTGTTTGTTTATCAGTGCATCATAATCATTATTGGAGATGTCTTCCTATAAAAAATCATAGATTATGGAATATAAAAACAAACATGGTATTAAAGACTCAATTTAATCTTTTACTATTTCCAATGGTGCCTATTATATGCTATATTTTATACTTACTTATTTTATAAAAAAAAAAAATATTTATTAACAAAAATAATAGGATTTTGGATATATAGTGGCCTTATCTTTTCTGAATTTAATACTATTTACAAATAAGCTACTGAGTATAAGAGAATATTTGTGGAATTTAAGTTCAATTGGCAAATTTCTTCAGTTTTTTTTATAGCTAGTATAAATATATTATTGTTTAGTTTATACAAGGCGTTATTGTTTGTTTCATTCTTTTATCCACAGTGTATTTTTATTTTATTTTGACTGTTCTTTAATTCAAAATATAGTACTTAATAAATTTTCTTTAGCTATTAAAAAATAATATTAATGTCTGCATTTATAATTGCAGTCCAAAATTTGTGATATACAAATAAACTTAATATATTATATAAGTAATAACATATATAATAAATATAGAAGTTATTTATAATCACAAACTTAAATATTTTTTTAAGCATTAAATATTCTAACATTTATTAATAATATATCTAATAAAAATTTTGAATAATAATAGAAAATTATTGGAATTAACAAAATAATAATTTTGAAATATAAAATATTTTATATTACTTTTTTGAGAAAAAAAGAATAAATAATAATCTATATATATATATATATATATTTATAAAAAATTGAATGTAAATAATAATGTAAATAAGAAAGAATGTAAATAATAAATTAAATATAAAAATTATATACGCGTAATAGTAAAAATAAGTTATAATTAAATTATTGAAATAAGAGAAAAAGTTGTGTTCTTTTCATTTATAAAAGTCTATATCTTTTATAATATGAAAAATATTGGAATGTTCCAAACAATATGTGCATGAAATATAACATTTTATCTATATGAATTTCTCATTTCATTCCTAAAAAGTATAAAAAAGTTGATAAAAATAAATTATCTTAATTTATTTATTAACAAAATTTAATAATAAGAACTTATATTTTTTATTAAAAATTAAATTGAAAATATAATATGTCAAAAATACAAAGTAAAAAATTATTATTTTTAATATATAATTATCACATTCATATTATTAATATGATAGTTACATATTAAAAACAATATAATAAAACAATTATAATAATATATATGTAATTTATACATGCAATTTATTGTGATATTTATTTTTTAATTTAATATATAAATGTGAATATTAAAATTTTATCAAAATTTATTATTTTAAATTTCCTTACCATTTTATCCTTACAATTTTTGATTTAATATATTCTGTAAAATTATTTTATATAAATTATTTAGTTGCATAATTAACTCATTTATTATTATTAATGCTATGTTATAGTACAAATAATACAAGAATTCTAAATTTGTATTATTATAAATCTTCTATTTTTAATTAAATAAAAATTTATTTATAGTATATTATAATGTATATAGTAGTGTATATAACTTGACATTTCCTATTTCATGCTTTCAACCTACATAATATATAGAAATATAATGTAAATATGTAAGTATATATTGGATATATATACATTAAGAAGATATGCATATATGTATAATATACTAAATAATAAATTATGTAAACATACCTATTATTATTATTAATATAGTCTTGAAGTCTTAATATAATATTTGTTAGATTTTGCATTGATAAAATTTGTAAATAGGTAATCAGACCACCTGCAATTGTATTGCTAATAAACAAAAATGATATGATCTTAGAATTAGGTTTAACAATGCTCCACCAAAGTTTGATAAGTTCCTTTCCTTCTCTTAAATGTGGAACTCTGTATCCTATATTTCCAGCAATCTATAAAAAATTTTAAAAATTAGAAAATTAAATTAATTATATTGAAAATAACATAGAAAACATGAAAAAAATGAAAAATATTTTACCCCAATATTTATTGTTGGTGCTATAATTAAAGAATACAATAAGCTATTAACTTGTAGAAATGAAATTGCTTTTAATTCTTCACATATGAAACAATAAGGTTCATGCACCAATATTTTATTTAAAATAAACTGAAAATAAAAATAATTATTATTTATTATATTTTTTATTGTAAAAGATTTTTAGAAAATATTTTTTATTTATTAATAAGATTTAACATACGAATTGATGAGTTAAATACGAAGTAGATGATGGTGCTAATGTTAGAAATAATGTTGTCATTTTCATACCATGATGACGTAACTTCAATTTATGTCTAAATATTGAGTTAATTATTACTCCATTAATAATACCAATTCCTGCTATTATTTTATTTCCATGTCTTAAAGACCAGCTTAAAAAAATAATATTATATATAATAATATATTTATAAACAATAAGAATTTAAAAAATTTGAATTCTTTAATATAATTTAACAATAAATTAATATATAAATTAACAATAAATTAATATAATTTAACAATAAATTAAAAATTAAAATTATAATACATACACTTCATTCTGTGGTTCCCATTGTTTAATTAAGTTCATTCGATTTTTAATAAGGTCGTACTCATTTTCATAACCTAACATAATTAATGATGTTATTTTTTAGTTTTTAGTTTTTTAAATTATTTTTTTGTTTTTTTTTATTTTAAAATCTTCACAATTATTGTTTGATTTAATATGTAATATATTTTAATTATATAACAATAAACAAAATGAAATAGATTTATCTTATGAGACTTCGTAAAGTTCGTATTTCATATTCTGAAATACCGATTGTGTAAGTTTGTAATGTACTCTCTATGATTTAAGAATTTATCACAGATGGAGATAATTATGAAATTTATCTATCTATAAAAAAAAATGTGATTTATTAATCAAAAATTTTGATTGAAACTTCATTATTTATCTACGTCAAAATTATTTAATATCAAGTATGACTTTTATTATTAATAGAACGAAACAAAATAATATTATATAATATTATTCAAATTATTTGTTAACATAATCACTTTGTTGAACAATATCAATCAACAAACGGAAGATACTTCTTACTAAACAAATATATATTTTTTAATAAGATATGTTTCTTTAATAAAATGATGATGAAAAAAAAAGATTAAACTAAAAAGAAATAACAAAATACAATGATCAATTACCTCTTTAGCTTTTTCAGCTAGAAACTTAGATGATCTAAGAGCACGAATTTCCACCATATCAGTGGAAAAATTTTGGG